ATGCGATGATGAAAGGAAAGTATAATAAATAATGATTCGCCAGGTTGACGTTAGATCAACAATGTATCTATGTTATGATGTATCTTTCGGTTTGAGATGTGTGCCAAAGCAGATATGCAACAACGGAGCCAATTTATTGATCACTGATCGTACAAATTTATACTAAAATGATTGTTTCTTCAATAACAAGGTAATTTATTTATTGTCAAAGTGAAATTAAGAACCGGGACTCTCCAAATGTTTTATTATGTGGGGCGGGGGAGGGGGATGAAATGCACATGCGTAAAGCCTACGAGAAAACTTTGGTAGTTTTGAGGTCTGGATTTTAGATCATTCCGGATAATGGACGTCTGGATTTCGTACTTTGTACTGTATAAATATTTCTTGTGTCTAAGAAACATGATGATTCTTTAACAAATCAAGCAACTTTAAAAGTTCCAACATTTTGTATGCGTGATATAAAACTGAATTGATTTAATCATTGAAATGTCCATGAGGTGTTTAAAATTGGTAAATATTTCTGATTTTTTAATGTAATTTCATATCAGAACAAACTAGATAGTTCAATAACTATTGGTTTCTTTGATTTGTTGATATACTGTTGAGGAAAATTGTAGTAGGTGCCGCTAATGTATTTGGGTTTGTCCACAGTTATTTTGTTAAATGATGAGAAAAAAAATATCCTTCAAAATAACAAGAGAATTTAACTAGTTTAGTATCAATGCAATAAAAAAACCTATAAATAAGTACTTTTGTATATTTTTAATTCAGAAAATACAAAAATTTGTTGTGAACTGTAGATAACTTTTCTAGAAATTATTTGAACCATTGGCTATATCCCTAATCTTAATACTTGGGGCCATTACTTGTTTAATGGAAGAGAACAGGCAAATTTAAAATTCAGTAAAAAAGCAACCTTAATTCAGCATAGATGTTTCCAGGAGATTTAAAAAAGTTGGGGTAAAAAATTACAGAATTTATTTTGCTACTAAGGAAGAGGGATATGTGTCTGAATATCTCCAAAATCAGTAGAGTAAAATCTAATCCGAACTAATTTCTTTTAACTTAATTTTAAAATATCTGACTAACAGTCTGTTTGGTGACATAATCTCTTATTTGGCAACATTTTTCTGATATTTAGCAATTTTTATAATCTATTTTGATCTTATTTGACAACTTTATTTCAGTAAAAAAATTTCCAGTAATACTTGATGATATTAACTCAATTATTGATCACAATATGCTATGTATTTTCCATGTTTCCGTATGCAAATGAGCAGGACTTCGGCAAATCGATAACATTAACCATGATTACATTAAGTGACCTCTACTATAAAAGAAAATGTTAATCCGGATGTGTTTCTTCTTTTAGATGGTATCTTTGTTACATTAAATGCTGTCAGATGTAGAAAAAAATTATAACTTATTCAAATGGTTTTTTTTCTTGATCTGATCCATTATGGATGCACCAAAAACATTGTGGCTGTAACTGCATGATTGCACGTGCATGTACATCAATGTGTCTGTGAACTAAACTACTATTATTAGTTCAGAAAACATGTTTTATAGTTGTAACTATTTTGTTAAAATAAAATATTTATTAAAGGCATATTGTTTTGTGTATTAATTTATATATATATATTTTCATTTATGATTATTGATAAAATAAAAATAATACTTTTTAATATTTTTCTATTGCACTCATTTTAAAGAGATGTATCAGATAACTTTAATAATTCTTTCGTAGAAAATTTAACGAAATTTGATCAGAAGTGCATTTTCCTATTTTGTTGCAGAAAGTTGACATTTAAATAGATTTCCAAACTTTTAATAATGTTTTGTCACAAAAATATTATGCGCTTGAAAATTTTATTTTGAATATTTATGTTTACTAATAATGAAGTTTTACATATTATGAAATAACTTAAAGCATGATTTATGCCAACACCTGCAAGACTTAATGTACTGGGCTTGATTAATCAGAAAACATGCTTATAAATTGAAATACAATTTAAAAGTCATTCATATTTTTTGGGGGGGATATCTTGGTGGTTTATGAAAACTAATGCACAATTTTTGCTTTGATCATCTTAACTATATCAAAAGTTATGTTAGCTAAAATAAGTTTTGAAGTACTTGTTAGAAAACATCAAGAACTGATTTCATTTACTAGATAATAAATGCTAATCTAGAATTAATTCAAAATTCAAATTATGTAATCGTGGGTCTTTATTTTCACATGCTGTCAGTTAAAAAAAAAATGGAGTGAGAATTAATGAATTGATTTTAACAGCAAACCATTTCTGATAAGTTGTGTTTACAAAATGATTTGCTGTTTGGAAAGTTCTGTAGACATGAGGATATTGCTGCTGTATTATTATCTACTGTTGATACCGTTAACAGTAATGGCTAAATTGTACTCTTGTAAAGTCTGCTATTATTAAGATAAATGTTGATAAACCTGGCTGAATGGCAAATATTTATTCTTTTATTTAAAACATGCAGTTGCAGATAAATGTTCCCCCTTTTTTTCTGCCCTTTTCTTCCATTCTTCTTTTTAGTGCATTAACTGAAAAAATCTGAAATTTTTAAGAGATCTGACTGTTAAAAGGATCTTAAATCTGTGTGTTTATACACATTTCACTTTGATTGATGCTCTACAGAATTATTGTATGATGCTACTGAGATTTTCAATTTCATAAACATAGAAGACACTGCATTCTCATAATACATACTACCTTGTATTTAAAAAGGACTGCAGTTTTTACTTATGCAGAAATGTTGTGAAGTTTGCTTTCAGAGGTTAGTAATAGTTTTATCTGTTTTGAATATCATGCTAATACTGATTATTGGAGGCATTAAAGCAATAAGAAAGTATATTTTCAAGGACTTAGTTTAAAGATGGAACTTTCTTCAGTTGCAGGTTTTATCTGTGTTTTATTTAAATTAACTGTATGTCAAAATTAATTTCAATAAGTTTTAACATGACTTTTTATTTGTTATATGTGGTATTATAATTTAATGTACTAGTTAAAAATGATGAGTTTTCAGTCTGCGTTATTAAAATGAGTTAAAATGAAACAATCACATAAGTGTTTTTTTTTTTTTTTTTTTTTTTTTTAAAGTAGTTGTCATCAAAGTCATGACCTTTACTTTAGATTGGGTTTCAAATTTCAATTTTATTTATTTACTAAATTATTACTTAAATACTGTAAATAAAGTAAAATATTAAATACTGTAAATATTATTTTGGAGTCGTATTTACCTCGCATGTGTCCTTGTGTAAATGTAAATTTTGCATGCAGAATTTTTCATTGCATTTTCTTATCTTTAGATTTCTAAAAATTAAAAGCAATCAGTTTTTAATGCGAAATGACAATTACAAGGAAAAAATGGCCTGATTTCAATTTTTATTAGATTAAAGTGAAAATGATGATGATTACAAAATAGTATACCACAATTAATAAATAAGTGTCCATGAATTATTTAGTGAGCATAATACAGATTGCGAATAAGAATTGGATAACATATAGTCATTCGCAGAAAGTACATATTTTATTGGTAAAGAGAGTACAAAATTAACTTCAGAAAATATATATGAGTGATAAATCATATATATATAGAAAAAAGAAAATATCTACTGTGAAATCTAGTGATTATATTTTAATACAGAAAATAATAAAAATATAATTTGATTTTTTTAAAAAATTTCTGTATGATAATTTACATTATTTTTATATTAAGTGTCATAAATATAATTTGAGCAATTTCATATTTGCATAATAGATTTTATATATATATAGACTGTATAAAACTTATTTCAAGCAACAATACTATAATTTTGGAAAAAGATACTGTGGTTGTAGGGTCAAATATACTCCATGTGCATCCTCATGTATAAAATGAAACATTCATCCTCCCATGTTAAAGGGTTTTTAATTTCGATAAACATAGGAATATGTTTTTCTGGGTACCAAGACTGATGCACCTAGATAAAATTTTATGTACTAATAATTGTTGGAATTTACAATCTTCATTTATATAGTATGAGAAATTTAGAAAAAATTAAAAGAGAATAATATCTTTTAGCAGAGCATTATTTGCAGAGAACTGCAAATAATGCTGTGCAGAATTTAAAACTACGAGACAGAATAAAGTGTTAAAAAAATTAAAAGTAATATTTAGATGAAGAGGAAATAGACTATTTATATAGAGGCTCTTTATATAAAATTATCATTAAATTTTAAATCATGTTTTGCTATAAAATTGCAAGTTAAGTTTTAAATTAGTTTTTCTCAAAATACTTCTTTTGAGATGTGTTTCTTTTGTGAGTCATCTGTCAACCATAATGTCTAAATTAAATAGAACAAGAAAGCTTTTGTTTAATTTTTATAAATTTAATCACAAATCTTAAATCACCACTATTAAATACCTCTGAAGTTTTGTTATCCATGCTATGTTGATACTATGTTACAAAAAATTGGATATCTAATTATTTTTTTCTTATTTAAAGATATTGCTGCTCTGTAATTTCTTTTTGTGAATAGTCTTATTGTATGCATCATTTATTGACAATAATTTCCAATCTGGAATATAACATATATTTCAGATTTAAAATTCCATGCATTGAAATGTATGACACAAAAATCAACTTAGTTATCACCAGCTGTTGTTTATTTGACTTGCCAAATTCGTTGCCCATCCTGGGATAATTTTTTTCATTAGAATAAATAGTAAACAATTATTATCTTTTTTTTTTTTTTTTTTTGTTGTTGTTTCTGATATTTCTTCCTTAACTTTATGATATATCTTTTTTATGCAAAATGAAGTCTCCCCTTTCAAAATTTTAAGTATAAAAGTTTTAATATTTTCTTATTTAGTTACAAAAAATTTAAAGTAGTAAAAATATTTCTCTTAATAATCTTATTGGTCAGTAATATGAACTGTAATGTGCAAGCAATAATTTTTCTTTTCTTTTTTTTTTTTTTTTTTTTTTACAGTTAGATGCAAAGAAGAGTCCATTGGCTTTACTTGCTCAAACATGTAGTAATATTGGTGCTGATAATCCAAATAATAAACCTATTATTTCTGGTTTAGAGAAATCTAAGGATAATAACAATGATTCCAAGAAGGACAAATCTCCTGTTATTATTAGTGATGATCATAGCAATAGTAAGCCATCATTTAAACCCTATGAATCTGTCATTAAAAAAGATGAAAACCTGAACTCTGATTTTTGTGGTAAAAAGACTCCCAACTCAAAATCAAGCTCACCATCTGTGCATCGAGGGTCTCCAGCTGCAAGCACAGGTTCCTGTGGTAAAAATTCTCCAACTGCTTCTGAAAATGGCAGGAGTAGTTCCCACAACCCTAGTAAATCAGAATCTATTGTTTCATCCCTTGCATCTCCGCACACATCTAATTCTACTTCAACAACCTTGTGCTCTAGCCAAAATACCCTTAGTGGACTTGGATATGGATCATCAACTGGTTTAGGTTTAGATTTAGCTCGTAATGATGCAAAAGAAAGTTTATCACATTTAGGTCTAAGTGCTTATAAAGCTCTAAATGGCTTGAATCCTTTGTCAAATTGCACTGGATGTGGGCCAATTCCAGGACATCCTATTGATACTCATGCATATCAAGCAGCAGCTCAGAGTGGCTTGCTTAAAGCAGGCAGTTATCCTTTAGGTACGGCAGCTCTGTCACCTTATGTTGGATATGCTCGAGTAAAAACAGCAAGTGGAGGTACAACACTAGTTCCAGTCTGCAGAGATCCTTACTGTACTAATTGTCAGTTTAGCATGCATAATGCTCAATTGTCTTCCTGTCCAAGTGGTTGTACACAGTGTACTCATGACAGATTAAGTACTTCACTACCTGGATTAGGACATATGCCTGGCTTGACTGGCTCTGCTGCAGCAATGGCAGCAGTTGCTGCTGCAGGAGGCATGCCTGGACTGTCATATCCTCATTCTGTGTTAGCTAGACCAAATGTCTGCAGTTGGATGATTGGGGATACATATTGTGGTAAAAGATTTAGTACATCTGAAGAACTTTTACAACACCTTAGGACTCATACCAATCTATCTACATCTGAATCTCCCTTATCCCTCATATCTCCAGCATTTAGCTTAGCATCATCAAGTCTAAATGCAGCTTGTCATATGCATTACAGTTCTGGTGCATCATTAACTTCACCAGCTGGCTTAAGAAGAACGTATCCAACTAGTTTAAGTCCTGTCAGTTCCTTGTCTGCAGCAAGTCGATATCATCCATATAAGCCAACACTGTCTTCTCTACAAGGAACCCCATTGTCTCAGCTTGGGCATCCTGGTTTAGGAATGTATTATCCATATAATTTGTATGGACAGAGACTAGGTCCACCGGTTCATCCTTAACAAGCCTTGTGAAGTGATATGTTTTGCTCATGTTATGTGCAGTGGCAGTATGGCAATTATTCCTACTAAATTAAATCAACAGAAGATTCATGTTTTCTGCATTCTTTTTTAATAGTGAAAATAAAACTGTGTGAAAGAAATAGATATAACTTTGAATATACTTTTGTTTGAAATTAATTATAAATGAAAATGATTTATAATTTTAATTTGTTCTTATTGAGGAATATAAGTAACTGTTCCTGCACTGTACTTTGCAACAGGTTCTTGGAGGGATATATATATACTTGTATATATATCTGTGATTCATAGAACATCTAAAATTTTTATGGAACTTTAACACCATTTATATTACTTACCTCACTTGCACTTTAATTATTCTTCAACTAATTCATCAACTCCTCTATTAATCCGAGAACCTGTTAAATTATGTGATGATATTCAGTGAGATTGTATCATAGCTATATTGCATGCAAGCGTTTTAGTACCAAAGTCTTGTAAATAATGAACAGTCATTACTTCTACAATAATCCAAAGGCCTTATCACACTGTTTGATGTATATTATCTGTTTATAAGCACTTAAAATTTAATATATAACTTATTTTCTGTAGATTATGGGATATCTGTAGGTGTTTTATTGGGTTACTTGTGAATGACCAAAAAATAATAATAATAAATAAAGGTATTAGTGAAAAGATTTAATACTTCATGACTTATTTGTGGTTTAAACTGCACCTCTACCAGGCTTGTTTAAATAATTGTTCTGCTTGTGAACTTTTTGTTTTAAATAAATTTATAACTGTTAAATATGTATAATAATTGTATATAATGTAAATTGTGTTTAATATGTCTTGAGTGAGCTTTAGTGCTTGTATTAATTGTTTCTTGTATACACAGACTGACAGACATTTTAGTATTGTAAGATACTCTTCATTTCTGTGTGATGTTAGTGAAGTTAATTTCAGAATTAATTAAAAACTTGCATTATTATTTATTTCTTGCCAAAATATTATTGCCAAGATACAAAAGTGTATGCAACTTTTACTTATGTCTAAAGTAATGTTTTTGGAACAGTTATTTCTTTGTTTTCAAAACTGATGAATCGTGCAATATTCTTTTTATGTGAGACAATCATGTGATGAAAATAATGAAGTGTGAACTCTGTCAATTTAACAAGTGTTGCATATTTTGTCTGTCATATTAAAAAATTGCTAAATGGTGTAATAAACAATAGGAATCTAAATCTGCATTATGATATAATAAATGTTCTATTTCAAACTCTTATTCTGTTGGTTTATTAGTCTGTCTAGTTAGTTTGCTTTTCTTAAAGATTTTCCTGACATTGTGTAAACACACATAAAAATATACTATATTAATTTAAAATCAAACCATTTTATTAGCAGAGAAATTACAAATTTATTTTTAAAAATGGATCATCAAACTTTATATAAAAATATGTGCATATCAAGGGAGACCAGATATGGATTTCACTGCTGAAGAACGCAAAATTTCTACTTGATTACTATTTTCGTTTATTGAAGAAGAGGTACCTTCATTGACTTCCTTTGAAGTGCATAGCTTTTCTTTAAACCCAATATTGGTGTAAAGTTGAATTTGGGCCAAGTTAAAATTTGAAATTGATATCCTTATTATTTAAATCAGATAGCAAAATTTAGTTTCAATTATTTCAACAACTTGTGAGCTCTCAGCTGCATATTTAAAAAAAATTTAAGTTTGCATGTTTTTAGACTATTAACAGCATAGTACCACCTATCGTTAAAGTTTGGTCTAAACTGTGTTTTATGCTAAAAAAGTCTGTGGTAAATCTTTATGTGCAAACATCAGTCTGTTGATTTTGTATGGCTTTTCAAAATATATTAAAATTCATGCGATACTATGTATATATAGCTACACAAACAAACAATTGGTATAAATTTGCACATGTATTGAAATTCTGCTAGGCAGTAAACAAATAATAAAACCTTAAATAATAACGAGTAAAAAAAAATAAATGAGGAAGACTATTTTATCATATAAAAATCAATTTAAAAAATCTGCTATGAAACCTTGTTATTACCCTCACCATGAAACATATCCAGTAAAACTGGATTTAGTGCATGGGCATCCACAAGGGGGAAATAAATGTGGCACTTGCCCTAGAATCAAGTACAAAATGTGTTTTTGTATTAATGCAGTACTGTATTCCATAATATGCCTAAAAAATTCCAAATTAAATAAATAAAAGTTTAATGATGTGATTATTAGTTCTTAGTATCTTCTGCACCTATTTCATCTTGTAGCACCTATTTCATACACATTTCCGATTTTTTCGTAGTGTTCAAGTTCATAACAGAAAGACAATTTTGTTATGGAAAATATGTGTATTCACAACAAAAGCCCCACTTGCATGCATCCACAGCGAGAAGTAAGAACGAAGCTTCCTTGCAGAGTTTGTAGCGTGGTGACATCACAGAATATTGAAGCAGTGAGAGCCATTACGATACCAAGTAAGGCCAAGGACAATCAATGAACTGAAATATGTTTTATATATATACTAGCAGCAGCCTTAGTCTGGCTTTTAAATGTACCGAAAAAATGGCTGAAGGAAACACCAAACGTTAAATTAAAAAACTGCGTAGAATTTTACTCTGCAAAACAACTTCATAAAAAAAAGTTATTACGTATAACAAAATTACAATGAAATAAGCAGTATCCCTTAAATAAATTAACCAACTTCCCTTTGCAAAATCTTAAGAACTGAAATGGTATAAAGGAGGTTAAGAATTTTGTTTCCTAAAAAATCACTCAAAACTTTTCAATATCTTAAAAACAGTGAAATGAGCAATAAATAACATAAAAGAATACAAAAAACAAAAAATCTTGAAAAGCAAAGTATAATTAATGATATCTTATATTTTCAAGAGAAAAAAATTACAATGAAATAAGCTATATCCCTTAATACAAATATTAATTATCCTAATAAAAAAATTAACCAACTTTCTCTTGAAGAAAAAAAAAAAAATCAGGCAAAACTTTTTAATATCTTACAAACAGTGAAATAATAAACATAAAATTCCGCGCAGAATTTTACTCTGCAGAACAACTTTATCAAAAAAATCAGTAAAAATGTATTATATATATATATAAATGACAATAAAATATGCCAATCTCTTAAAAACAGTGACATAAGAAATACGATGAAAAATTGTTGCCAAACCCATATTTCTAAAAGAATGAAACTATTCAAAATGATGGGATTTCATCAAAAATCTATCAACAACAATAAGACAGGAAAATTGTTGCCAAAATCACACATTTTTAAAGATGCAGGATGTGAGAAGTGTATTCGGAAGCTTCATTTAATAATTTTTTTTTTTAAATACAAAATATTATTTTTCCAAAATTCTTTTTGTAAAAGCAGTCTCAAGGATGAAAGTTTAACGTGTCCAAAAATCAAAGAAAAATAAACTGTACATTTTTGAAAATAAACTTTTTTAGAAAAAATCCCGTTGAAAAGGTGTTAAGCTCCCTTTGTTAAATAAATTCGTATCGAATCGATTTATTGAAACACGAAATTTATTTTAAGTTCGTAAAATAGTAAGTGCCTACGTTTCATGACGATGTGAAAATGGAGTGTGTAGAGTAAAATCTCACTTTCCTATAGCCCATTATGTCTCAAAATGACGCGATTTCGTCACAAAACATAAAATCAAAAAAATTCTAATTCGAATTTCGAAAGAATCGCTTCGAGGTGCACTGGCTCTTGTCTAGAAGCACCTATGTACCAAATTTCGTAGTCGTGGGTCTGTTAGCTTACGCGCAAAGCGAAGGAAAGACACACACACACAGACTCTTTCTTTTATTATATTTAGAGATTAAAAAAAATCGTCGCAGTATTCACCAGATCTGGCTAAAAGTGGACAGTTCTTATTCAGAAAGAGATTTCAGAAATGCATCGGCTGTGCAAGTCGGCATCTCAATGGTGCCATTCTCAAGACCAAGTAAACTAGTGTGTTACTCGAAATGGTGAATTTTTGCAATTTTATCTGAAATGGTACATATGCTCGTCATAATTGTGCAATACAGTAGTATTGTGTTGCCCGATTATGATGAGTAATTTCATATTTGGAAATATGAAAGAAAATATCGTAAGCCTTGTTCTTTCCAACTTGGTGAAATAAGATTCTGCACAGCTATGATTGCTTTATTAAGTACACACAAAATCGGAAAATTATTCCTGCCATGCACCCTATATTTATGAGATGAGAGGAACTTTTTTTTTATTTCAATACAAGTAGAACTGCGCAAAATGATTGAACCGAATTACAGCTCAGAATAATCCGAATCAGTTAATTATTCGTTAGTTTGATATACAGTGAATGTTCAAAATTAAAAAAATAGTAATAATTATTATAAAAGTGATATTAATTGCAGAAAGCTCACTAAAATTCCATATTGATCGTTTATGAAAATTGTGTGCATATGGGTTTAGACATGAAATCAAAGGCACTTAAAAGATATTTTGGCAGCGAACGAAAAATTTATTGGTGCATAAAATATGCAAATAACGGAAATCTTAAAAGAAAACATATTCAATTTTGCTCTCGCGCAACATAAAACTATAATTTTGAAGGATGCTTTTATTTCCTCTCTGCAAATTCGCATTTTAATTTAATAACAACCGATTTTTTTCAACTATCTGCCCTCTCTCCCTTTTTAAATAAATTTTCGAGAATATTACACAGGCTTAGAAATAAATTACTTATTCATTCAAGAATTTCTGAATCTCAAAAGTTGCAAAAAGGAAAAATAATTACTAATTAGAACACACCAGTGATTTTGTTGGTTCTAGGAAAAAAAACCCACAGGAATAATGCTCACATGAAAAAAGCCCACACAGAAAAAAGCTCACATGAAAAAATGCTCACTTAGAAATATGCTCATACGGAAAAAAGCTCACATAGATATATGCTCACATGGAAATAAGCCCACTAATAATAAAATACGTAGAAATATCTTTACATTAATCAATGAATAATTAATTGGAAAAATTATTGGGCAGATGCTCATATTAACCTTTTTAGAGGTGGTATATAAAAGAATGAAAATTATAGTAAAATTTTTCATGTACTGTAATATTTTATACCACTGCCCCCTGTACGACATATTTTTTCCTGTAACTGCAAAAAGTTTTTGTTTTTTATTTACTCTATTTTGCATACTTTTGATGTGTATCTATAGAAATTGATGTTTGAATGTGTAGGTATTTAAGTTTGGAGCCAAAAAAGTTCTAGAAGACCACAGTTTCCAATTGAAGTTTGGAATTATTATGAAGCAGCCTTCGAAAAATCTCCTAAAACAACAAATTATTACGAAAGCTTTCATAAGGTACTAAATACATTATTTAATTGTAGCCTCTCCAGTATGTGGTTTTTGTTTGAAGGACTGAAAAAAGATTTAGCCTGTCGACGTTTATACTAGCTATTGCAAATACAGGGTGTACTGAAGTAAAAAGAAAATATGAAAACTTACATTTGTTAATCGCGAATCATGTAAGAAACTATGATGAAATCGATGATAAAATTAGATATTTACATAAATTCGCTAATATTCAGTAAGTTTGTAGAAACATTAGGTATTTTGGTATTTTGGAAGCAGGAGATGTGAAAAATGAACAAAGCCTTCGTCGGGAATCGAACCACGGACCTCTGGAATACGCGCCCAGCGTGCAGACCACCACACCACGAAGGCATGCTAGGAAGGCGGGAAAAATACCTTATAAGTTTATGTGAAATATATGTTTATGATTTATATATATAACAAGGTATTTTACGCAATTTAAATAAATTATTTCTATTTGCTTATTCTTCTAAATGTTTATATTATAAAATTTGTAACTTATACTTGCTATTATTTTATTTTTTTTAACAAATAAATTGTAATAATTTTTTCGCTGTATATTCTGTTTCATTTTTCTTCCTTCCTTCTCTCTTTTACCTAATTCAAAACGGCCCATTTGTTAATCTTATATAGCAACTAAATCTACACATAAGATACAGGTTTTGGTAATTTAAAGAATTTTTCTCTGAAAAATTCAAGTAGGTGTACGATATTCAAATCGATTAATTATTTATTGATTATTGTAAGGATATTCCTACGTATTTTATTTATCAGTGGGTTTATTTCCATGTGAGCATATATCTATGTGAGCTTTTTTCCGTGTGAACATATTTCTAAGTGAGCATTTTTCCATGTGAGCTTTTTTTCTATGTGGGCACATATCT